GCTGTTATAAATTCACTGTAAACCACGGCTTCACGGGGCTTATTGCTTTATTCGCGTCACTCCACACAGTTTCTATGTGTCGAGCATTGAACACAGTGTTGCCAAGTCTGTGGAATTGGGCTACTCCTACTCTGTTTCCGCGGGGGGTTTTCATGTCCACGGGTTTAAGCGACCACAATAACGTGATATTTAGCCCCTAAAATGCGAATTTTACCAGGGTAACCCCGCAATAAACCATGCATTTTACCCCTCGAAACACGATTGGGCTAGTGTTTTGAGTAACACTTGGGTGGGTTTTGTTGTGAAAACCTAGCAACCCTGGTTAAAGGTTTCTCCAGCGGGTCAGTTTGAGCTGGTCAGCGCTGGTAGCTGCTCGCAGTGACCGTCAGTATCTGTTCCTGCACCTTCTCCGTGATGCCTCCGCTGTGTTTGGTCTGGATGCCGCAGGTCCCCGTGCTTTCCTCGCTGTCCGTGTCTCCGTAACAGCTGGAGCCCGAGGAGACCGTCACACAGCCCGAGGAGTCTCTGTCCTCACGCTGACCGCTCGTCTGGTCCTTCAGCAGCTGCATCAGGAAGCTGATGTACTTCATGGCCAGCCGCAGGATCTCGTTCTTGCTGAGCTTCTTGTCAGGCGGGTGGGTCGGGATGAGTTTGCGGAGCTCGGAGAAAGCTCCGTTTACGTTCTGCTGCCGCCAGCGCTCGCGGCTGTTAGTGAAGACACGCCGAGCCATCTTCTGAGGAGGACCTGAAGGAAACCACACAGCTGAGCGTTCACCACGATGCTGAACCAAGGATGAAGAAGAGTGTGAAAACTAAACAACATGCGTCTCCTAGGCTTGTCAAAAATACCGACTGCTGAGATCGTGAAAATGTGACGACAGCAGCATCTCCCGCGAGCATGTTGAGTGGATTCTTACAGTTGTTCTCAGTCGCTTTGGTGCATTTCTCAGATTCTCAAAACGACTTCATCATCCAGTCACTTGTGCACATCATAAGAGCAGTTTCTCATTCTTTTGAACAAGCTGCGATTGCTTTGGAGCATTCATGAAGTTGATTATGTACATTTGTCTGCGGTTTCCTACATCATCAGTTGCTAATGTCATGTTGCTCAAAAAAATTTATTATATAGTTCCTTCTCTGTGTCAAAAAATTCCAAAAAATCTAAATATTGAGAAAATCATCTTTAAAGTTGTCCAAATTAAGTTCTTAGCGATGCATATTACTAATCAAACATTAAGTTTTGATATATTTACGGTAGGACATTTACAAAATATCTTCATGGAACATGATCTTTACTTAATATCCTAATGATTTTTGGCATAAAAGAGAAATGTATAATTTTGACCCATACAATGTATTGTTGGCTATTGCTACAAATATACCCCAGCGACTTAACACTGCTTTTGTGCTGCAGGGTCACATATATATAAATTTATATATAATATATTTTTTATATTTCTTTTTTATCGCTGAATGGTAATTAAATACTGTTAATCAATATGTTTTCACTTTAACCAACAGAAGACTTTAATGACATCATCATCATCTGATGAATTCTGGGATGTTTGGAATCAGTCTGATAATATGAATATTTCAGGCGATGATTAAAAAGTGAAGTGGTTTTTAATGAAGATTCCTGTCACTCTGTAAATAACCGTGTTGTAGTTTGACCACAGCACACTTCTGATGATAGTCTGTTTGTATAGAGTTGTACAGAAATACTTCAGTACAACACAATCATATTCATATTTTAATAGTTTAGGTGCTTCAGAACAGGATCAAATATATTTATAATAATATATCAAATATATTACAAATACATAAAAAATAAAGGACATTTCAAAGTATCCCATATGGCAAAACATGTTTTTTTTAGTATATTTTTATATTCACTAAACTGTATCAACATATATTTATGTAAATATATATATTCTACCAATATATTATTTGCCCATTTTTTTCACATTTATTCAATGTTCATTCAAAAATCTATTTTGGCCTCCATATATTTCAATCTAAGAAAATACATTCCCACATGTTACATTTGCAGAAAAAATGAGTTATCTATAACAACAGCCTTAATGCAGGCCATTAACAGTCTGTAAGTCTATCTTCTTGCCCCTGAGACACATGTTGAAGTATATTTTGTTTCAACCTTCATACAGAAAAATATGTTTCAAAATTCTAGCCAAAATACATATTTAAAATATAGACTAAATATATGTGTAAATTGAAATGGAAAATTATATATATTTTAATCTCAGTTTATAACACATTTGTGACCCTGCAGCACAAAAGCAGTGTTAAGTCGCTGGGGTATATTTGTAGCAATAGCCAACAATACATTGTATGGCT